TCTGTCCAGATTAAGATAAGTCTGCTGCACCTTGCTCCAGATACTTGTTGCCAGAAGAGCTGCCGTCATGTAAAATCCGCCCCACCCTCCAATAATTCAGAAGGGATATCGCAGGTCAGGTGTAAAGGAGAACCACCAGGGAAAGCTTCTTTACGAAAAACTGTGCACATAGATTACATATACTCTTTAAAAATATAGCATCGTTATAAATCAACTGAAGACTATTTTCAGGTATGATCATGTCTAGGTTATTAACAGAATTAGAAGACGAGTACAATATTCTTCTACAATATGTAACGATTGTGTAAGTAGTCTTCACTGTGAATATTTTGTCCCATTATTTAACCAAAATTATAATTATTTCAACAATAATCTTTAATATACTGCTCGTTCTCTGGCTTTGTAGCCCAAGCGTAAATCGCAAATTGTCTATTTTGTCGACATCAGCGTACTCAAGCATGGCAAAACATAAAACATTCATCAAAACAGGCAAAAGATTTTACAAAATGTTGGGAAAATATACATGCAAAATTCTTCAACTTTCTTAACTTCAAAGATTAAACTTAAAACCATTGTGAATTCTACATTGACGAGGTTCTGTAAAATTTTAAATCGTGGTAACTCCCAAGTGTTAGGTAAACTACAGTTGATAATATTGTATCATATTTTATTAACCGTCCTTAAACCTATGATCATAGTTGGTTAATGTGGTATGACGGGGAGGGGACAAGGTCGTAATCATACAGTTCATATAAACAGATGGTTTTTACTGGTTCCGTGCATTTTATTAGTTGAGATTTAAATGTTCTTAAATGTAATTCCTGGAATGTAAACCACGTAGTCTTGCATGAACGTCATAGAATTATCTCCAATTACAGCATATTATGAAATATTCAATGCATATATTTAACTGAAATCTTTGATTTCACAGTATTTTTATTTTAAAGCTATGAGCCTTGAATAAAGACGAGCTTTCACGTTTGATCATCAACATCTGTGTGGTAAGCTTACATTACTCACATCAGGGAATATTGATGGCACAATCCAGTCCTTGATCTAGATCCCAGTAAAAATATGACAGTCAAATCATAGCTGGCACTGGCGTTCGTTGCTGCTTTGGTGGGATGTCTCCTCGTGGACAGATAAATAGCATCAACGTAGTTTGCAAAGTAAAATTATATTAAATGCATATTTAAACATTGGTATTGAAGGAGAAATTTTATTTATCGCTTGGATTTTGATATTTAAACGCATTTTTAAAGGCATTTTGAACTCTTTTATTGAATGAAAGAGCTCAAATTAGATATTACAATTAGCTCGCTCTCATTAGCGAGTGAATCTCTTATATTAAACTCTTGCATTTGTTTTACAAATACTCCTGAACGGCTGAAGCGATCCACACGACATTTAGCACAGTCGTAGTAACTAGCCATGGTAAGGTAGTCTGAAATGATACAAATAGGACAACAGGGGTTTTCCCTACATGAATTTAAACTTTTAGAAATTTAACATGGGCCTTGTGGGTTTATTGATTACTAATATTATTAGTTATATTGACATATGAGTACCAACAAATCATAAAAACCAGCACATTACAAATACAGAACAAGGAAGAACAACCAAATTAATACCGTTGAGCATAATTTACTACAAAATGATTAACCAATTAGGCTAATGTACCATTTGACTTTTGATACATCAAATAGACATTTCATTTATGTGAAGCAAATCTACCATTGGCTTTGGATACTTCAAATGGACGTCCCTATGTGATTGAATATACCATTGACTTTGGAAACTGCAAGTAGGCATCTCATTTATGTGAACCAGATGTGGCATTGACTATGGATACTGCAAGTAGACATCCCATTCACGTAAAAAAGATGTAGCATAGACTTAGGAAAAGTTGCAAACTAACATAATACTTACTAACATAATAGCTTAATATTGCAAGCAGACAACTCTATTGTACAATAGTTATATCATATATGTTACAAATGTTTTCAATATGAATGATATCTTAAACTATAGATACCCAGCCTTAAAGTTGACCCATCTTAAATACATAGTCAGTTTTATAATAAAACACAGTTCAATTTGAAAAATATCGTTCCTTATAGTCAACAAACCACTAGTAGAAACAGTGAATAACAGCGATACGTTACTTGACTGGAAGCTAAAAAAAACTCAGCTATCCGAATGTTCATTATATCCGAACGGACACCATCTGAGCTCCTGATGTGTAAGTACAGTAGGATTATAAAGGTGTATGGTCCATTTTCTGTAAAAACGACTTGATTTCCCTATCTCACGTTATTCATATTTTGGGTTTCGACGATTTGGAATGATTGGGTTGTAATCAATTTAATTTATACTTAGCAATACTTTACACAGTATACAATTATTTACATACGTTTGTTGTAATGGTATACAAAAATAGTATCTATTGTTCGACCGTGTTGCATATCTTCATCTCGCTGCAATACATCGCATGGACTCGCTAGGTGTGGACTGGAAAGGATGACCTTGTTAAATGAAAGTAACCGAGTTACTGAGTTATAACCGTGGGTCACGGAAGTCTCTTGGAGACTAAACTTGTGTCAATTAGTGTGTATCCCATAAATAGCTGATATTAAAATATACGTTACAATATAACGAAAACTATATATTTTATATATTATATATACATTAGCTGCTGTACCCGTGCTTTGCAACGGAAAGAAAATTCTGTTTCGAAGAATGGGTGTCCTCTTTACATTATAATACATCTTGGTAGCCTTGTTAATACTATCTCTGGGTTGATACAGTAAGGGTTTTATAACTTTTTTATATCCATTTTCACGACATAGTTTTAGAATATATAATCTATGACAAAGTTTTATAATGAATAAACCTCCGACAAAGAGTTGAGTAAAATATTACATTTAATTTGTTTGGATCAGCTGTATGAAATTGTAAAATAAGCATTTGACAGTTCTGATTGTTAAAGGTACATTGAAATGTCAACGCAAAAGTAAACATTGTGAATTTTCTTATGCTTCCATGGAGACCAATTAATATTTGATTTTGAAAACCTCGCCTCAAAAGTTTGGTCACCCAAGGGGCGTAGCCCGAGGGACCCGAGGGAAGAGAATAGGCCTAAGACATCTTAATATTATAAATGTGAAAGTTTGTTTGTTTGTTTTAAGTTCAATCACGCACTAACTACTGGACGGATTGGGCTGAAATTTGGTATGATGATAGCTCACATTCCCGATTAACATATAGGCATATTCTTCCATGTAAACAGTAAGGAGGTTGCAATAGATATTATAATCGTTTTTACTTTGTATGATTTTGGTTTCACTATAGCATACTGCCTCCTTTGGCCTCATCCAGAAATCGTTCAAGATACCACGGTCAACAGGACTTGACTGCCATCTAGCTTATAGATTTATTTATTTTTTGTTATGCCATTGGTTATATAAAATAAATACCGTACACTAACGGTTACTGCAGCATATTCAAAGGTCATGTGTTTACTCTAGTCGTGATGGGTCTAATGTTGATGAACACTGTCCTTCAGATGGGGATGAAGGTCATTAACACGTCACCATTCTTGAGCGAAGTATCATTTGGTAGGGTAATGTTGATTTTGGAAATAAATATCGAATTTAGATGATGTATTTATGAGTTGGTTCCCAAAACTAATTAATCGCAAATGTACAACATTATTTTTTATTGTGTCTTGTCCTCTACTTCGAGGGCGAAATATTGACACTTTTGGCAAGAGCCCAAGTATAAAATATTACTGGGCACAAAGTCAATTTAGAAAAATAATGAACACTTTATTATAAACGCTGTGGCGTCACTCGGACCTAAACACGATGAAGGCCAAGGCAGAAAACCCGCTCTCTTTGAAATTAGAGTGCACAATTTATTTGCATATTTTTCCATCCGTAGTTCTATCAGTTAGTTAATTATAAGTACTTTATGAAGGAGACTTTTATTTGGCACGCTGCCTTTCAATAATACATGGGGCAAACACGCTTCCTTGTACAACTATCTGCTTGTTTGTGGATGTGGACTATTTGAAGACAATTAATTGTTATAAGGTTTGCTTCTGTATTGTGTACGTATCGAGTGGATGTCTGTTTATCTACTGCTACAGTTATTGTGTTTGTTATACCTACTGTTTATATTTCATATTTTTCCTAACCTCCATAGTTTTCCCTACAACAAAAAAATTATCATCTCCATAGGGTAAAACACGCACTTTAAAACTAACTTTAGCATTAGAGAATCGTAGTCGAATCAGCGCAAATTAGTAACCAACATTCAACACACATCAAAATAGTTTTCATACTATACATCGCGATGCCAAGTCTACTTGCAGTATCCAAGGTCAGTGATATGAACTATTTCAATAGTAACATCACAAACGAGCATGATAACCATACCAATACATGATCCCCAGCAGAGCGATCCTGAAGATCGGAGACGCTTCTAAAGGAATCGATTTCAAGGATTGTGGACACAGCTGTACTTGATCATTTACTTTTTAAATGTCCTGGATAAGAAAACAGCCGATATTAGTCAGTAACAAAGCTTGTGTACTGGATCATCCTAATCCATTCGACACCTTGCACTCATATTCCGCATCAAAACTGTCTAAAAAACCAATGCTAATGATAATCCTTACAAAAATAATCCTCAGCAAAATGGTCTCTGATCTAAGGATCGGAATCGATTCCAAGGGTATCCTATATGGAATGTGGCACAAAACATGGGATTAACCCGAGTTGTTATTGAAGGAATGCCGTCTCCCTGCAGGTGCCTCCCCCTTCTCTTCTCTCATTCTCTCTCTCTCTCTCTCTCTCTCTCTCACTCTCCCTCTCTCTCTCTCTCTCTCTCTCTCTCCCTCTCTCTCTCTCTCTCTCACTCTCTCTCTCTCTCTCTCTATTCTCCACACCTTCCCGCCGCCGACTCGGCAAGACGGCGAACCCAGTCAGTCGTCCAGTCTTTCCTCTGCCGCGGTAAGGAAGGTGTCGTTGTGTTTTTATCGTTCAAGTGTTGTGACTATTTGTGACTAAAGCCTAAGTGCAGCGCTATTTGGATAAGCCAATTGTGTTTTCGGGTGAGTTACCATTCATTGCAACCAATCAGCTAGTTAGTTTTTGAAGTAAATATTTGTACATTTCACACATGGAAAATCCACCATCTACAAATGTGAAAGTGCATAGTGTTGTTGAAGCCAAGGTTTTTGATCTGTATGCAGTGGGTTCGTTGTGTTTTCAGTTTGAGGTTAGCCAACATTGCAGTCGTTGCAGTTTTCGCCTGCCAGCTGTTCTGTTAGTTGGTTGTTGATCTCCTAGAAGCTGGTGGAGCTGAAAACACGTCGTCATTCCTTTCCATTGTTGTGGTGCTGCTGGTCGACCGGAGGTAAAGGAATTTCTATTCCTTTCGGGTTTCGAGAAAAAAAAAACTAGCTACGAGAAGATTAATGGTTTTAATGGATATCTTTAGTTGACAATACTAAATGTTAGACCTACTGTGTAACTATATTATTTACCTGAAATTCAAATTTTCAATGTAGCATTTTATATGCAGACATTTTATTACATATGAAAAATACCAAACATTATTTTAATAAAGGTTTTGTTTCTTTTATAAGTTTATATAACCAACTTTTAAGTCACTAAAATTGCCTTTGTGTAATTCACCATAAATAAATTACAATGCCCGTTGTACGCTTAAAATTATTTTGGCGACAAATGAAGCAAAATAATAAGCTCTATTTGCTTTTAAAACTGCTGCCTCACATTCGATTTTGGTTATTTAATCCTAATAGATTCTTCATACTATGAAGAATCATACATAGCTATTGCTTGAATAGGGATTTTGCACTTTTTACATATTGTATTTAGCATTCAAGGAAAAACAGTATTACAATTACAGCTCTCATGTGTTATTTCAATTAGATTTTCCTATTAAAAAACAATAACAAAAGGTTACTCAGGAACAGTTGAAAAGTTTCTTCAACACAATCACAAACACTAACGAGCACATCCATCTCAGGATGTCAAGCAACTTAAGTAGGTCTGGGACTCGTCCTTGGTTATCAGGTGTCTGTACTTACTGATAAGTACAGGCGTGACTTTAGCAGTTGACTGCTGCATTGATAAGAAAAAAATGGGTTGAATAGGCTTGTGACCTTATCAGTTGACTGCTGCAATTGCTGATAAGACTACAAACTACAATCATTCTACAAGTGCATTCTTACCCAGTTTCTTGCTGCACTTGCTGATAGTAATATATGTGTGCATAGGCGTCTACTCTTTGATTTGCCTGCTGCAATTGATTATGGCAATTACAATAATAGGTGTGCCTAGGCCTGCATTCTTTTCATTTGATTACTTTAGGGATGCATCTCTTTTAGTAGCTTACCTTAGATAATGGTGACGCGAATTCGCTGGAGGCGTTAACTTGATAAAAACACACATCAGTCGACATCAAAGACATTTAAACCGTTAATATATCTAAATATGTATAAAAAGAGTAAACTTGATACAAATCAGTCAGCTGAGATCAAAGCATTTAAGTATCAAATCAACGCCTGCCTTTTGAGATGAAAGTTATTTAAGCAATAAATGCACTGCAACATACCGATTTGAAGGAAAATTAAACAATTACACAACAATCATCGACGATTAAAGGTATTTAAAAATATAATCTACAACAATCAGTGATTAAATAGATATTAAGTAGATATTAAATCTACCGTAGGCCTACATAAATCTGTTGAGATAAAGTGTATTTAATTTCATAACACGCAGCAGGGTAATTTTGGGTGTTTATACAATCAAAACAATCATCAAGAAACAAATAAACAACAATAATATGAGATGAAGAGTATTTAAAAATTAAATTTTCAACAATCAGTTGGCATAAAAGTTCTTAACAAATTAAATCCACAACACTCAGATGATGCTGGGTATTTAAATATTTAATCGACAGAGCCGATGACACACTGAGAAAGTATTAAATCCATAACAATCAGTTTAGATCAAGGGTATTTAATCATTTATATAACAGACAGCCGGGATTAAGGTGTTTAAAATTGAATCCGCAACAGAGAAGATCTACAATTAAATTCTTAAATATACAATAATTAATTGAGATCGCAGGCATTAAACAAATTAAAATATAATATTCACAAGGTCAGATATTTTATCACAATTGCAATGGGGCTCGCCCGCCTTTACTAATGACAATAACGCTTAAGTCAAAGTGAAAAGTGTTTTCGTGTAAACGTGTAATAAAGGTGTTAAGGTGTAATCGTGCAAAAAGGCAGGGTAATCTGGTTAATTTATTGGTCAACGACACCGCAGACTATAATAATACGGCATTGTTGTTTGCCCTTGGACCGAATTGCTATTGAACACTGGCTTGTATCGGGGACTTTCATTCAGAGTACAAGAGTTCTTTGCTAGAAATTGAGCGTTATTTCATTGACATTGGATACTGTTGAGTGTTGTAGACACCACCTGGGTAAAATCTGATTCTTGTTTGATGCGTGTTTAAAGTTCGATTATGTTTGGGTATTCTGCTGTGTAACATGTAGTTCAGTGTCATCATAAAATATTAGAGGGCAAGCCAACCATAAGAGCTATAAGATCACTATTTTGGCCTAACTTGCCCTAACTAGTCTTAAAAATTATGTTTGGAGATCGTTTCTAGCCCTAAACGATCTTCTCGTATTTTCTGGGCCAACAAATTAAGTTTTAAAATATTAATGTTAAAACTTAAAACTGAATATTTTTTATGCCAGTAATATTAACGACTTTAGAAACAAAAGTAAGTTTTATATTCCGAAGGTGGCTAGTTTTTACTCGAAGATAACATAGTTACAGTAATAACTTATTGAATTTTGTCTTTTACATATTGAATAACTTTCTGTGTGCTATTTGCAAAACTATTCACGCGCATATTCTAAAAATGACCATAGAATGAAATTGCTCCTTATTAGATTTATCATCGTTATGGATAATCTCAAGAAAGTGTTTAGGTATGTCACTCGTTTAACAATGATAATATATATCTCTTGTGTAATTTCTTGTTATTTAATTACTAATCTACTACTATCTCTACGACGAAATATAACTTTTGACTATCAAAGAACGATTGGACATCTAATTGCTGCTTGACCTAAGTTTTTTTTATGGCAAAAGATATAATTATAGCACAATCCTATGTGACATACGTTAGACCAAGTTCACTTGAAACGATAAAGGTATAACCGTTTAATAGATTACAAACCGACACGACCGACACAATCATTTCAAGATTTTCTGATACATACAGGTTCTTTTATTTATTCCCTTACATCGCTTACCTTAGATTAGACTAGTTTGGGATAACACTTTTCCAGTAGGTAGTCTCTAATTAGGTTAACACTATAATAATGTGTTACTAGCTAACATCATTAGTGTATCTTCTTGTCATTGGTAGCTTCTAGCTGAAGAAGTACTATTAGTTGAATAATTTAGATCTCTTGGTCAGTGGATTACTTTCTTAGATAGTGATTTTTCTGATTCTTTTGCTTGAAATCTAGGAATCGACAACAATGTTTGTTTTATTTACAGCTTGCGATTTCACTATAGAGTAATTCGTTTACATGAAGATTTCGACAAAGTTTTATGCAACAGGATTGTCCAAATCGTTCTAAATTGGGATGTAATTGTGGACACTGTTAGGGCTTCAGAAGTTTAAACTATACAGTGCTTGTACTCAGTTGCCTTCATTTTAATTTTATCTGAATGATATTGTTGCCAAAATAGTAGACTAAAAATATTTAGCATACTGAAAACTACTTAAATATGTGTATGTGGATGTCAGATTCATTCAAATACCATTGACTATATACCTCTAAGTAGAGGTACAAAATCAATGCTTATATATAAATATAGGGTGCACTTGATACACACGGATAACCAAACTTGAAAATAGCACATTAGACAATTATACTACGAGTAGGCCTGCATATCATACACAAGTAAATATTTAAATGTTCTCTTTTGTGGTTCACTATACCCTAGGACTACAGTCCAAGTTGAACAGTTTGTAGTTGTAACCGTAGCAACTACAGTACCAAGTCGTGTCTCCCACGTCAGCGTGTCGCAACGGCTCATTTTCACGTGTGGGCCTAATGTGCGTGTGTTGTGTGACTGCTAATGGTCCTAACTCCTCCGATACACCTTGGGTTCCCACGCATTCCTTCCACTGGAGCGTGGCAGAACTACAGGGCTTTGCGGTGTAGGGAACTCCTTCAACCAATTATGTATATCCTTTGAGACAGCAACGCACACTCGTGTCTGTATTTGAAGCTGAACACGAATGGAAGGTGATTGTAGAATGGAGTGCGATGACCTGTGTAGCTTTGTTACTGTATACAATCAGCTGTTTTATTAGGACTTTATTAAGAGCCCAATGACCTAGAACATTCAGTAGTGTACACCTAGCCAAAAAGCAGTAGCACACACAGACATGGTAAATCACTCCACATCACTGACATGCTACCCGGTATCTGCACCTAGGTTATGGAGCAAGCAGCGGTTCACATCCAGACCTAGAACATGCTAGTACAATAGTGTAGGTATATGTAGACATGAAACATTCAGTAGTACAAACCCAGATGGTAAATCACTGCCACTTCTCCACTTCACTCACATGCTGCACGACTGAGAACTGTGCCGTCGCCGTGATGCCGTAATCTATGTTATCTAACCACTGGTTGGGAATCAGAGCGCCGTGGTTGTGGTTGTGCACATTGGCCAACCGTAGCTTCAGATGCAACAATCCAACAATAGCACCTCCACATGTCTGTACCGTATGTTCCTGGTTTCGCCATTCGTGTTATTGTTTACAGTGAATTATACCGTTTTGCAACAAAGTCACTAACAAGTGTCCCACACGGTATTTTGTCAATGGAATGAGTCATTCCAGGAAGTCAATTGATCTTGAGGAATCCTTAAGAGATTATGTGGTACTATGCTGACTACTCATTTGATAACTTTGCTATTTTCAAGGGCAAGAAAGCAGAAGGGAGAGATGGATATTATGTGATAAAGTGTTACT